TTGCAAGTGCATCGGCCTCACTGTTTTGCTCTCGTGGAACATGCTGTAAAGTCAATTCTTTGAAATGGTGCAGAGTGACATGCAGTTTGTCCAAATACCTTTGCATTCTATCTTCTCGAACTTCGAAGGTTTTGTTCACTTGATTTACCACCAGCAAAGAGTCACACTTGGCTTCAATGACTTCTACTCCTAAGCTTTTAGCTAGCTCGAGACCTGCAATCATGGCCTCATACTCGGCCTCGTTGTTAGTCAACCTAGCAGTTTTGATAGATTGCCTAATAGTGTTACCCGTGGGTGGCTTTAAAACGATGCCTAGCCCGGACCCCTTCACATTCGAAGCCCCGTCCGTAAAAGGGTCCATACCCCCGATGACANCAAAGTTTTTCGTCTGTTTTTGGAGTATGAAGCAGTGGTGGGCTCGATAGATATCGTTTTAATTTCTATAATGCCTGTTGGCATTCCGGGGTCCAAGCGAAATCGTTCTTCTTTTTTAGTAGAGAGAAAAATTTGTGACTTCGATCTGACGACCTTGAAATGAATCGGCCTAAGGCGGCAATCCGTCCCGTTAGCCTCTGCACGGCTTTTACGCTGTCCACGATGGCGATGTCTTCTATGGCCTTGATTTTATCAGGGTTAATCTCGATCCCCCGATTTGACACCATGAAGTCGAGGAACTTGCCCGAAGCGACCCTGAACGCACATTTCTCGGGGTTGAGTTTCATGTTGTATTTCCTTAAAATCTCGAATGTTTCCTGCAAATGGGTCAAATGGTCCTCTGCGCGCAGGGATTTAACTAGCATGTCATCAATATAAACTTTCATTGTTTTACCTATTTATTCCTCGAACATTTTGTTTACTAGGCGTTGGTAAGTAGCTCCTGCATTTTTTAGCCCGAAGGGCATCACATTATAACAATATGTTCCATATTTGGTGACAAATGAAGTCTTTTCCTGGTCTTCCGGGTTCATTTGGATTTGATTATACCTAGAATAGGCATCGAGAAAAGTAAGGATCTTGTGGCCGGCCGTAGTATCTATCATGCGATCGATGTTATGCAGTGGAAAAGAATCTTTGGGGCATGCCCTGTTTAATTCCTTGTAATCTATACACATTCTAAGTTTGTTCCCTTTTTTAGGGACTACAACTACATTGGCTAACCATTCGGGATATTTTACCTCCCGAACGGACCCTATTCTGAGAAGTTTAGTTACCTCGTCCTTTATGAATGCGTGCGTGCTTTACCTCGGATTGGGGCCTTCTCTTTTGCTTTATTGGTTAGAACCTAGGGTCCAGGCTTAGCCAATGCGTCGTTATATCCAGTGGGATCCCTGTTATATCTAAATGGGACCAAGCAAAATAATCCATGTTATCGATAAGAAATTGAATAAGCTTGTCCCTGAGTTCGGAGGTTAATCTCGTTCTCAGGCATACCTTTCGTTCGGGCAAATGCCCGATTAATATGACTTGCTCCAACTCTTCAATCGTTGATTGGGTAGTGTTGGAATCATCGGGAAGCACGAAGGATCTAGGGATCATTTGATCATCATCTTCATCGATCTTCCGATTTTTTGGTTGGGTTAAAGCTGGTGTCTGTGATTGCTATTTGGCATCTTGTTCCTCTTTTTAGCTCGATCTCTTTTGAGTTCGCTTCCTCGACGGCAAACATTTCTCTCGTGGCCAGTTATTCTCCGTACACTGTTATGACCCCACTCGATGTTGGGAATTTAAGAACCTGGTGTAGGGTCGAAGATACAGCTCTCATGTTGTGGATCCATGGCCTTCCAAAAATGGCGTTGTACCTCATGTCGCCTTCGATTACGTGTAACTTCGTTTCCCGGATGGTCCCGGCCATGTTTATCGGCAGAATTATCTCGCCTTTGGTGGTTTCACATGCCATATTGAATCCGTTTAAAACCAGGGTCGCGGGTACGATCTAGTCCTGTAGACCGAGCTGTTGTACGACCTTCAATCTAATGATGTTGGCCGAGATACCTGGATCAATTAACACACGCTTAACTTTAGTTTTATTCATAATTACGATATTACAGTGCATCGTTATGAGGTTGTATGACTCCTTCTGCATCTTCATCATTGAAGGACAAAGTTCCTATGGGTGCGTAATCCTGAGTTCGAGATCGTTTTTCTCTCACAATCGATGACTTAGTGTGTTTAAGCACCGGCCCTTGAGGGGTATCGAACCCGCCGATGATCATGTGAATGACGTGCTGTGGTTCTTCTTGTTCGTTTTGCTTACCGAAATCCCTGTTTTTTAAATGGTTCTTCGCCCTGTCGCTTAAAAATTCTCGAAGGTGCCCTTTATTGAATAACCGGGCTACCTCCTCTCTTAGTTGCCTGCAGTCTTCCGTTCTGTGGCCATGGGTGCCATGATATTCGCACATTTGATTGGGACTGGGCAAAATCGGTCTGCATGGGCCGAGGCCATTTAGTGTCTTTGATGCGTCCGATAGCCGACATAATGGCGGATGCATCAATGCTGAAGTTATACTCCGATAACCGAGGCGCTTCCTTAGATCCGGTAGGCCTGTCGAACCCACTTCTGTTCATCAGCCCCCGAGGTCCTTGACCTCGATCACTTCTTTTGTTGCTTTGTCCGGGGTTACGTCTCGATTCATTGATTTTGTGGTTTCTGTTATATGATTGATATCGATCCCTGATCGGACCTTGTTCTCGATTAATATCCCTTCGAGCAGCGGGTTCAGACCCCAACTGATCATCTTCGACCCTAATTTTTGATTGGTACCGATTGTGCACGTCGGCCCACGTGATGGCTGGGTATTCGATCAGGTTATGCTTCAACCACTGTGAAGCCGTCGAACTTCGTTCGTTCAAACCTTGAGTGAAAGACTGAACAGCCAATCGTCTGTGACTGGTGGCAGATCCATTCGTTCCATTTGAAAACGAGATACGAACTCTCTTAGCATCTCGTTATCCTTTTGACTTACCTTGAAAAGGTCTGATTTCCTTGTTGCGACTTTTATGGCGTAAGCGTGTGCTTTTACAAAAGAATCTGCTAACATGGCAAACGAGTCGATGCAATTCGGCGGTAGGTTGTGATACCAAATCATTGCTCCCTTCGAGAAGGTCTCTCCGAATTTTTTTAACAACATAGATTTGATTTCATCGTCTTCTAAATCATTGCCCTTGATGGCACACGTGTAAGAGGTGACGTGTTCGTTGGGGTCGGTCGTTCCGTTATATTTAGGAATTTCGGGCATACGGAATTTTTTGGGGATTGGTTTTGGGGTTGCGCTCGAGGGAAAAGGCTTTTGCACGAATTTTTTGGAATCTAACCCTTTTATCATTGGTGGAACTCCCGGGATCTGATCGACCCTGGAGTTATATGTTTCTACTTATTTATCGTTGGCTTCGACTCGCTTCATGAGCTCCTCGAGTATTTTAGCAATTTCGGGAGTAGTCCGCGATTCTTGCTCATTTGACCTCACTATGGTTGGCTCCGTTCTGTGAGCAATTTCTCGAGGTGGACTGGGCTCCGGCCTGCTCGGTAGCTGGGTTTGGCTCTGCAACGGAGCTATCGCTGCTTGTTGAGCTTGCAACATTTCGAAAATCATACGCAAGTTGACTCCGTTTTCCTCGACGTTATGGTTATCTCGAGCTGCAGATCGAGTGCTACCATGAATGCTATTTTCAGGTTCAGAATGTAGGTTCGCCTCAATGGCCACATGCGAATTGATATCTATCGGCACTTCGATTCGAGCTCCAACGGCGTTGACAATTGGTCTTTCGGTACTGGGTGTCAAGTTGTTGTTCTCATCTTGAAGACCAGTTTCGTTGTCGATAGGTGAGGCCATTTGATTGGTAGTTAGTCGTTGCTAATCCGAAATCCAAGATACTTCCGGAAACAAGCGCAAAACGGTGTGTTTTTGCAGATTCGTATCAAATAATCAGTGTTACCCTTAGCCCCACGATTGGCACCAAACTATTTACCCGAAAAACGGATAGAGTTGAATTTGTACGTAGTTCTAAGGATATGTGGTATAGCTTAATACAAATCGTAAGGATAAATAGAAATATCAAATATAGATTGCAAAGAATGCAAAATAAACAAGGTTGGAAAGAAAATAATTTTTAGGATTCAGCAAAATGAGTTAATTAATGAAGCCTAAAAGAATAATCCTTGAATATAGGAGAATATGGTGCTTGAATTACAATGTAAGCAAAAAACTGCCCTTTACAAAAATGTAGTCATCGTCTTTATAGTGGAGGATCCTACTTTAGATATAATTAAAAATACATAGTGGAGAACCCATGATAAATCAACTTTTCCCTAATTTCCGCCGAGATTCTCTCCCTTAGTGTGTTTGCAACGGCTCTTGTGTGTGAGCTCGAGCTCGATGTCTCGATGAAGGTCGGAATTGCTTCTAGAGCTCGATGTGGACTCGGGATCAGGTGACGATTCGGGCTCGGTATCGGTTGCCCTCTGCCCTTAAGCTCGAAATCATCTCATCATAGTACGATTCGGACCCGAGCTCGATAATGACTTCGAACTCGTTATTTGACCTATACTTGAAATCTGAAGCTCGTTCATACCATCTTCGAAACTCATCTCGATATTACGAAGTCTTTCTTCGATCCATTATGTTTCGACCTCGATCAATAGTACGATTGCCGAAGTTTATTTCGACCGTATATAGAAGGAAAGCAGAAAAAAAAAAAGAATCAATCAAAATGTCTAGAGCAAAGAGAAATGAAGCATGTTAAACAATAAATTATACAGAGAATTCATAGTACGCTGAAGCAAAATGATAGAGAGAAATACTAAGCATAAAAATTCTTGTCTTAATCAAGAAAAAAATAAAAATAAAGAAACATTAGTGCATTAATAAAATCACCAATATGCAAGATTATGAAGAAAAAAAAACAGTAGTAAAATTTCCACAACCCTCTTCTTTTAAATATGGCTTACAAAGGCAGAGCTTGAATATATAGTCTAAATAAGATAAGAGAAATTAAAGAATTACCAGAAGACAGATCAATAACAGAGAGGGAGTGAGTAGAGGGATTAGAATGAACGCGGAGGTGGAATCTGCTGATGCTTGGGTGTTCCAAGACTATGTTACAATCTGGATGTCGTCCAACCACCAACAAAATCTCTTCAAAATCTGGTTTCGTTTCTTCAATAGAAGCTGTGGTTATAGGTGGGGGATTATCAAGAAGAAAGATGTTTTTGAGGATGGCTCCATTCTTTAGCACTGTAAACAGTGGAATCTTCTTCTCTAATTCAGTCTGTAAATTGGGTTTTTCCAAAGATTCTTGATTCTCTGCCATGAAAGAGAAACAGAAAGAATTTGTCACAAAGAGATGGGGAGAGGGGGGTGTTTTTGAACGAAATGTTGCAAATATGACCGTTAGCTTATTTTATATAGAGGGAGTACTGCTTGTGTGAAACGGGCTAACTTTTCCTTTTAATTAGCAGAATTATTACATGTTAAGCTTTGTAATTTTTGTTTTTTTGTCGAGGCACTTAGGACTTTCTTTTTGGGGACTTTTACCAAAATGACAGTGGAGTTTACTGTTTACTTCTCTTATTTGTATATCTAAATTATACAATGATCATACACGGGTATTATATATGAATTACACATATATTATACAATTGCATGTTATTTTTAGTTCAATTCATTCTTTTCTTTTTTAAAACTTATTACTTCTTCAATCCTATTTGATGCACTTTGACTAACATGAAATTTAAGAAAGAAATAAAGACTTAAAATGTATGGTCTAAAATAAATTATTGGTGCATGAAAAAAGGAATTAACAAATTGAAATCCAGAAACCCATCCAAGAATTCTTGCCCTTTTATCCACTAAAAGTATAGTATAAATGAACTTTTGTATAATCAGTGCAATTTAACCTACTATAAGAATTTATTCGTCTTATTTTTTTGGGTTACTAACTTGATTTGCTAAGTATTGTACTTATCTTTAGTTACATTTTAATGATCTCTAAGTATTAAAAAAATTACATTGTACGTGCATACAAGTTAAACCCTTTCTTTCTCTTGTTAGTTGGGTGCTAACTGCCCTTTTTCTCATATACCGTTTTCCCATTTAAATACTTTAAACCATGATAGATAGATATAACATGGGAAAAGAAGCGAGAGATCAATGAGAGGAATTGGACTCTGCCAGCCTTTTAAGTAACATATACTAACAATTCCTTTCAAACTCAAAAACGGTATGTTAATATATATATTTAACATCATTAATTTGTACAGCCATTTACAAAAGGAAGGAAAAGAAAAGCGCGACCTTCAAAACTGTGTTACTCTAATTCTGCATTATGAACAAAAAAGGAAGAAAAAATTAGTGATCAAAACTTGTTTTTGTGATGTCCAGACTCCAGTACTTTGTCAGTGGGAAGCAACGGCGAAAATGGGGCTTGGTTTGGCATCAGGCTCAGGAGGAGAAGGCAACAATGTGAGTGCCAAAATACTGCTGACTGCAGCTGCAGCTGCTCCCGCCACAAACACCGGCAAGTTCCCTCCTCCGAACAACGCATCAAATGGCCCTCCCACTAGTGACACTAACGTCTGTATTTTAACAGAAAAATTGCGTATCAACACTTTTTTTATCAAACACAATAACACCTACTTATTTTCAGCTTCAACACTTTTATCCAAATACATAACCAGCACTTGAAAAGTATTTTTCAGTATTTGATACTCAAAAGCTACTTAAATTCAGCTAAGCAAGATAGGCTCTAAGTCTTATTTTTCTGCATTAAGTTACTCCACTTCTCTAGCATTATCACTGCCCTTGTTTGTGCTTAGGCTACAAATACATTTTGTTTTTTATTATGATAATCGAATCATTAAAACGTTATCAAGTTAGGAAAATGAAAATCCTAGAGGTGCAAAATTAGGAAATTAAATATCCAACGTCACGTTAGTTTAAACTAGAAAAGGCAAAAGACATCGAAAATATATACGTGAGAAAGAGAGAAAACGCGCGAGGAAGTTATAGTTAATTACCTGTGGGACAACTATTGCAAGATTTATGACTCCTTGTGATAGACCTGTGGAATTAAACAAATTAAAAAATATAGTTTTGATCTGATTGTTATTAACATCATAACAAGAATATTCAGGATTAATTACCTTGCCCTGCCCCAGCATTACTAGAATATATAGATGCCATAGCAAATGGGATGCTATAAAGGACCTGTACAAGACGAGATTTAAAAAGAGTCAATTTCATGTTAATACTAGTAAGATTAAGATTAATGATATTCTAGCACGCAATAAGTAATATTTGTACGTGCTGTTATATCGTAAGTCAATTTCTGTACTATTAGAGATGCAGATGTTAATTAATAATGATAGTACTTGCTTAATAATTATGTTATAAGCATGTGTACATGCATATCCTAAAGTAGAGTTTTCAAAAGCGTTTGTTAAAACGTACGTACTACGACATATTGGTGGGACGTAAGTACGTTGAATTTCCCCAAAAAGTCCTTTTCTTGATACTTAAAAATGCTCAAAAGTCAGCTCATTGAAAATTGTTAAACTAAAAAAACTAGAAAGTGTTATAAAATAAAAACTGTAAAGTAAAGATAAGTATAGAGAGAAATTGATATATTATTCAAACTTCAAATTTATGTATATAATGAACTAAAAACTCCTCTATTTATAGAAGAATGGAAGCAGCTGCGAGGCTTTTCAGGAAGTAGCTGCAAGACTTTTCTTTAGCTGCTTGTAAGCTGTCTGCATGAGCTGCTTGCAACCTGCCTGTTTAATAAGAAGCTGTTGCAAATCATTTCATTGAGTTGCTTGCAACCTGCCTGCATCAGCTGCTTGTAGATAAACTTCAACAGAGTACTAAATGGATAATCTTCTTCGGAAAGATTATTTATAACGGAGTAATAAATGAACATCCACAATATAATTATTTTCATAACACTCCCCCTTGGATGTTCATTAAAAGGTATCGTGCCTCATTAAAACCTTACTAGGAAAAATCGAGTGAGAAAAATCCTAGTGAAGAAAAAAGAGTACACATATTTAGTAATACGCATTTCTAGCTGCCTCATTAAAAACCTTAAAAGAAAAACCCTGTGGAAAAAAATCTTAGTAACGAAAAAGAGTACATCGCGTATTTTACTCCCCCTGATGAAAACCTTGTTTCAAATATTTGAGTCTCCGCATTCCAATCTTGTCTTCTCAAAAGTTAAAGTTGGCAAAGATTTAGTGAATAAATCTGCCGGATTGTCACTTAAACGGATTTGCTGCACATCAATGTCACCATTTTTCTTAAGATCGTGTGTGTAGAATAATTTTGATGAAATGTGCTTTGTTCTATCTCCTTTTATAAATCCTCCCTTCAATTGGGCTATGCATGCAGCATTGTCTTCGTATAAAATTGTGAACCTTTTATTGTCACGACCCAATTTCGCCTATAGGTCGTGATGGCGCCCAACACTACAGCTAGGCAAGCCAACTAATAAGTCAAACATATATTGGTTAAACTTTTATTCCAAGAAGATAATAAAATACCAATTTCTACTAATGTGCGTGCCAAGACCCGATGTCACAAGTGCATGAGCATCTAGTAGATTATACAAAACTCCAAATACTGTCTGAAATAAAATAGACAGAATAGAAATATCAGAAGAGACACAGGTAGCTGCAGAACGGCTCAAAAAGGCAACTCACCACTATGCCTCGGGATGACGTGGGTATGTGATGATAGGTCCTCCACTAGTACCTGTCTCAGATCCTGCACAAAAAGTGCAGCAAGTGTAGTATGAGTACGTAAACAACGTGTACCCAGTAACTATCAAGCCTAATCTCAAAGTGGTAGAGACGAGATGGCCGACTTTGACACTCACTATAGGTCAATAATAATTGAAATAAAAGTAAGATATTTAAATCAGCATGATTTACAGAATTTACAAATAATTTATTTACTCAGCGGAAATAATCAAATTCCTTCAAATGTAACAATTCTCAATATATTAATTAAATTCCTTCAACTCAAATAATTTCCAATTTATCAATTAAATATCATTTGCAGGAGTGACAATTAATTCCTTAACAAGCAAGAATAATAATTTATTAAATTCCAAGGATTTTTTAATTTATTAATTAGCTTCACGAGCTGAAATAATTTATTAAA